CATGGCTGAACCTGCTGCTCAAGTAGAGAGGAATTGTCTGTGGTGCTGCTGAAGCTTGATCCCAGGACTGTCACACTACAGACTGTAAAGCCCCTTTCACACAGCCTGTTGATCCCAGGAAATTGACTGGAAATTGCCAGAACGCCTTCTCTGTGAACGCAAACATGACCCGAGATTGATACCGGCATCGATGCCGGGTTGGGGACATAGTAACATTGCCAGAACGTGTGCTGTGTGAACAAAAAGCCAAGACCAATGCTGTAAGGGGGTGTGTCATAGTGATGACGCTCGTACCATCGCGCCACTCTGTTGATTTTAGAAGAAAGTTTGTTTTCATCATCAACAAAGAAGGGACGAACAAACGAAGCAGAGACCAGGAGCTCCTCACTATCCGCAATGAAGCTGAGATCGTTCACCAGCTTTGTGGAACGGTATGTGCGTGTACATATTTTCGGCGCTTACGTTACACATCTCATCCTGACGTCATGTGTCTTCACTGGTATTGTGAATGAACCGAAATCAAACAATACCGGGACAAATGCCGGGTCATATTATCCGTGTATTTTCCGGAATCTCTGTGTGAAAGTGGCTTAAGATTTACACCAATATGGTTGTTAATCAGTTTTTGATTAAAAAAAAAACAAAAAACAAATAGATATGCAACTATTTTTAGAGACAAGCTGTTTGAAGGTTGTTTTCTCTGAAAATTGGAGTCTCTGGGGTGCTTTCTGAATATTCCTCAGTGTGTTTGAGTCAGGGTTAAACTAAAATAAAATATAAGTATAGTTGTGGTCAGTATTATTGGCACCCCTGGTAAATATGATCAAAGATGGCGGTAAAAATAAATCTGCATTGTTTATCCTTTTGATCTTTCATTCAAACATTCTCAAAAATCGAACCTTTCATTGAAGTAAAAGGATTAAAAATGGGCAGTAAATCACATTATGTTATAAATGTCATAATTATTGACACCCTTTTATTAAATACTTTTTGCGAACTCCCTTTGACAAGATAACAGCTATGAGTCTTCTCCTATAATGCCTGATGAGTTTGGAGAACACCTGAAAAGAGATCAGAGACCATTCCCCAATACTGAATCTCTAAAATCCATGATACCATATCTGAACAAGATGTCCAGAACCTATAGGAAAAAAATAGACCCACATAATTAAAGATGCAGTGCTATAATTATCCATGTGCATGGGGTCCTTTTTTTTTACCTTTGCTGCCAAAAAGTTTTTTTTTCTTTTTTCCCATCTGCCCATAGAAATCTGTTCCTTTTGAAGTTCCAGTCGTGTCTGACATCTGAATATAGTGGGTTTTTTTGTTTGTATGGTTTTTTTTTTTTTTGGGATGAGTGAGGATGATTTATTTTTACTCTCCCAAACAGCATGTGAGGTGCTGTTTGATTATTATATTTTTTTAGGCTTTGTGTCTCCAAGACTAAACTAATCTACATTGTGTGAAACTTCACTCCTCGCTGTGCATTAAGACTAAAGACACACATCCTCTTCCTAGCAGATTCGTAACATCTTTAGTTTATTGGATCTTCTTAAAGGGACACTATGCAGTTATTTTAGCTTAATTTAACAGCTTCAGAGTTATTGAAATGGTTATGACTTCTTTCGGGTTGAATGGGGGGCGTCTCGACGTCTCGAACGCTCGCTCATTGCTCAATCCGTTGCGGGGACTGAGAAACTCATTACGGTGAAATCACAAAACCCAATGCACAAAAAACATGTCCCTGCTTGAAATACAGCCACTAATAAACAATCGGTGTTGATGAGGAAAATAAACTATATTATTAGTAAGGAAGGTTTAGAACCCAGAACCTGTGACACACATGGCAGAAGTTCTTCCTCTGGACCATTAAAGTTCATGGGGATATGTATTTAATCACGTGAAAATTCTTACCACTAACAACATATATTAGATCTCATTAAACGACAAATCAAACACAATGTACTATTGTATACGATGTTACACATCATTCCCTCCGTGAGTGGTATTTACGACAGTAATGTTAAAAACAAGTACTCCTCAGTTACTCTAGGGGCAGTGGTGGAGGAAGTACTGAATCTCAGTACTTAAGTAAAAGTACAAATAACCAGATAAATATTTACTTTAGTAAAAGTAGAAGTAACACAATGACAACCATACTTAAGTAAAAAGTATAAAGTACCTGATTTTAAATGTACTTTAAGTATTAAAAGTAAAAGTACTTGCATAATAATTGATTCTCTTAATGACTATTTTCTAATGATTAATAAAACATTCAACCTAATACTCCTATCCACAAGTTTCCGAGGGGCGCTCATGTAAAAAATAAAGTGGGTGAAACTTCCGGTGAGGCGGCGGAAGTAGCATTCCAATGGTATTTTGTGTGTTAGTTAGCGAAGAGGCTAGCTGTTTTTCGGAGAATTATGTTACTATTTAAAGACGCCAATCTTTATGAGAGATGTCGTTACGGAGCTCAGGGACAACATGTGCTGTTCCCGGTTGTACGTATAACCGGACTAAACTAATTCAGTGGCTTAAACATGATTGTTTTGAACCTAAGCTGAAAACGAAATCACAGTGATCCTACCAACGACTCAAGTTTCCATTAACCTCCCAAAAGAAAACGAATCTTCCTGTGTACATTTGTTTAAAATCTTAATATTCTATAAACTCTATCAGCATGTGATTGGCTGTTCGTTACTGATGTTACACCTAAACTCAGGATCAAAGCCTGTGTTGACAGAATACCAAATGTGACAGTTAATGTATTCAAGTAGCACATTCATTTATAATTTTTAATAAACTCCAAAGCACAATGACTAAGTGTGTATTTTTTATTTTAATTGTTTGTCAGCTCACACAACTGTCTGTCACCATGCCTTGATGAGTATTGATTATTAATAATGTTATTATAATACTCCCAATCAACTACTGCGGAGGGTGAAGGTACTGTTATTTCACCCTTTTTAATTTCGTTGAGGTTGTGTTCCAGCATCGTTAGCTATTTTGGATCGCTATAACTTGAATGACCGTCAACTTTTGAATGAACGAGTGTCAAGCATGTCAAGTAGCGCTTTGTTTACTTCAAACCGGAAGTCGCGCCCACTTTTGACGCAAGGCCTCATGGGGCGTAGGAAACTTGTGGATAATGATGTTCAATAATGATGGAAAAAAATTGATGTCACCATTTCTGAAACAAGCTTACAATTAGGCAATATAAGCCATGCTTATCCTTACTATATGTTAATAACTATGTTTGGCAGTAAACGCGATTAATTTATGGTGTAATTCTGAACCTCTTGGCTTGCCATAATCCTAACCAAACGTATATTACACATGGTGTGTTTCCTGTGCATGTAAAAACACATTTTCGCGTATAAATTGCATGATAAACACACTGCGTGCGAGACGCATTTAGTTGATGTATCTATGGCAACCAAACGTCACTGGTGAGACAAACGTGCAACGAACGGACAGTCAGATTACGTTTTGGCAGGGGGAAAACTGATCAGAAAATGTAATGAAAATGTAACAGAAGTTGTAGAAATGTAGTGGAGTAGAAAGTAAAATAATTGCTGCAAAATGTAACGAAGTAAAAGTAAAAAGTATGCACTATGTATTCTACTTAAGTAAAGTAAAGATACGTGAGAAATGTACTTAAGTAAAGTAACGAAGTATTTGTACTTCGTTACATTCCACCACTGTCTAGGGGTCGCTGTTTGACAAAAACAGCATTGTTGTCTGGTGCCCCTTTAATTATTGCCCTGATGGTGTAAATGAAGATTTTCAATGCTTTAGTTATTTTCTATTTTGTAAAGCTCAGCAATCTTTTGCTGCACACCAGAACTAAATTCTTTTGTTTTACTTAATGTGATGAATGATTGACCCTCTACAGAACAGTGCAATGGAAAGTTTTCTTAAGGCCCCCATGTTCAATGCATGTTTCTTTAAATGATTGCTGCAACCAACTAGAATCGTCAAAAAATTATCAAAGTACAGTCCAATAAGGTGTGGGAGTCACTTTCAAGCACCATTTGAAAGCATAGACAGTAAAAGAAATGGACACAGTGACTTTGATACCAATGGAGAAAATTGAAGTCAATTAGAAGCACTTGCTTCATGAGAGCTGAGCACACTGCACAGCCTCAAACTGAGATTGATGACGTAGATGCGATGTGAGCAACTTGTCTCACAGTTGTAAGTCTTCTAGTAGCTGTACCAAGAGGAATCTGAATCATTCCCTTCTGAATCTTGCAGAGACGGAAATCGTGAGCAAGCGAAGCTTCAGTTTCTGGCTGATGGATTACCCCCTTGTTCGAAAGCAGATCCAAATTGCTTGTTCAGGCTACAGGAAAGTTGTGTATTTTTACAAAGTGACATCGCCAACTACTGGCCTGGTAGCATAATACAGCATTTTTAGTCATTTTCGTGGATCCGTGTGAATGGAGAGTGTTTTAACAACGTTGTTATCTGTACACTTTGGTGTCATGTAAACATACCATAAAACCTGAAAAAAAGACAAAATAAAAAACAAAAATCTAACTAAATGAACATGAAAACTAAATGTATAAAAATAAAAGCAAATGACATAAAACAAAAATGTTATACTGTATCTTAAAACAGAAATAACACTTGTTTGAGCTTCCCGACCATGCCAATGTAGTTCAATTATTAAATCCAATGGTGTAAGTTTGTGGCAGGACTATCTGTCCAACCAATGGCAAACAGTGATCTGTAAATATTTGTGCTAAAACTTTATGTGGTCATGATTTTTTTTGTAGTTTCTGTTTTAACAAAATGAATAGTCTGTATAATAGTATGTTTAAACAATACATGTATAACTGTACAACCTTGATAACATAAAACTGTGGATATTATTTCTCCTCTGACCTGCAAATTATATTATCCTCCAGAATGTCTTTGATTGTGACATTTGACGTTCAGTAATCTATATTGGGCTCCCACCCCTGTAACCTTTCTCTTTCATTGTTTTTCCCCAGGTGAAGTAATAGGAAGGTGAAAGGCAGGCAGTGTGCTGTCTCTCTCTCTCTTACTCTTCATCTCTGCCTTAGTGAGTTCTACACATGGCTTCGTCACTCCTGACCCGGCAGCTGGCCGTCTCCCTTCAGCAAAACTTGCGTCTTGCTGTTCCAGGTAAAGAAAACAAAAATGAGATGGAAGACTGTGATAGTGATACCCGCCAGTATTAAAAGCTTGTTTAACTAATGTTCTCAACCTACTGGTGACCATCAAAAAGAGCTGTAGCTGTCACAGACTTTATCAGAGTGATTAAACTCCATGCTGGTTCAGTAAGTGAGAGGCTTCCTTTTAAAATGATAATAATATTTGGATATAGAGCCGGATGTCGAGAGGGACACAGTTCAAAGTTACTTAACCATGTAAATGAGTTACTTGGATCTGGTTCTGTCCAGCTTTGGCTGGTGAATTCTGCATGTGTAAAGTAGTTGTTTGTATCGTGTCCTTCAGTGTCTGGTCACATTGCCCCAATCCTGTCAGCGTCCTACATTAGTCAGTAGCTCAGTTATGAGTTCACTTCTGTAAACGATGTTTTCCCTAGAAATTTTTCCATAGGCTATATATATATATATATATATATATATATATTAAATAACCCCTTAAACCATGACTTTTGGCAAGTTTTGTGGATAGAAATGGACATTTTGAGACGTATAAATATGACATACCATCAATAGATTCAAGGCATGATTATTGCAGCACGTACCTTAAACTGTCACACACAGTAACCTTCATTTTATAATTTTAGACAGGATTTCTTCACTTTTTGTTTTGTGCTAATTTTCAGCTATAAGGTCGATATTGAAAGGGGAAAAATGAAATAGCACAACCCAGAAAAAGATTATTTAGAATTTATTGAAAATGTTATCGTAATGGCAAAGGCCTCACCCAATCTGTGAGCACTTCATTTTTCTAACATTTTTAAAATCAAAAGTTTTATATTAACATTATTTAATGCACAATGAAGAAAGTGAACAAACATGAACAATCATGTGTTTATATTAAATAACATTCTCAAACATTAATTCATGTTGTAAAAATTTATTGTTCACTCAATGTGTTGATGTTGGAGAACACATTAAGTAATGTTAATGAATTATGAATGTACTCCTACTCGTAAAACTACTCCCGACAACCACAACCAGTCACAAATCAGGTTTTTTGCTCGCAAATTCGTTATTTCAATTGTAGGGCCGTGTGGCGAGATGATAACATCGTAACATCTAATCTCAACAGGCCATGTGACAAAAAACAACCGATCAGCTTCGGCCTTTCCGTAACAACATCGAAAGCTTGGCCGAACAGCT